AGAAGGGGATGTGTATGTGAATTCAAGAAAATCAGTTTCCTGAGTTAGGAGAGAGAGATGGAATCCTGAGCACAAGCAGCAGAGTCAGGCTGGAAAAGGAACAGAAGCACCTGTTTATTTGAAATAACAGGGGCTAACCCAGAATGGTGAGGATCAAAGGAAGTTTGAAGTTGGACAAGACCACAGACAGATTCAGGCCTGAAGTGGCTTTTACTTTTTAGGGTGTAGTGAGAAGTGACTCTACATGCTGTTAGTGAGAGGGTGAGATCAGGGTTGAGATCTTTCTTAACTGTTGCTGCAAAGCCTGGGAAAAGACACCTGACTCCTCCATGATTCTTATCCCAAGCCCTCCCTATATCTCCATGAGGCTTGTGGCTATCAAACCTTCACAGGATAGCTTTATTGATTTCAAATTCCAAATCCTCTCAATACTAAATTCCTTGATTGATTTTTTAATGTGTCATTAACATTTTTTATAGCATCCCAGGGCTATGAAGCTATTCATCTGCTCCATGTTCAAGTAAATTTTCAATTTAACAAGACTTTATGGCCTTTCCAATTTTCCTTGATTAGATGACATTAAAGAAAAGTCAAACATCTTTAATTTGTCTCAGAGGACCTAACAAAAGAAAACACTTCCCATCCTTGGGGTTGTGAGAGAAGAGAATATAAAGAAGTAAATTTTGTGTGGTAGCTAAGGCTTCTACTCCATTGCTCACGCAAGTATGATTGGTTCAGTCTTACATTGGGGGAATGTCTCCTTTATCATTCTTATTCCTCAACTAACAGTAGAGCTTCTCCCTTGTAATCAGATTTTAATCTTTAAAAAAGCTCAGTTATAGTCCTCATAGGTTATCAATTCAGGGAGAGCTGTTACAGCAAATAATGCAACACATGTTTTTCATGGAGAATTAAGAAATAGATAACAGTTTTCAGTATTTATGAATAGTTACTAGCAACATACGGATTGCATATTTAGGCAGGAAGATGCAAAGCTCATTTGAACTACATATTACTGTCATATGTTACTTTGGTGCTTCAAGTTATTTTAAGATTTAAGATTTCTTCACATTGGTTTATCTATTGTTAAGAAGGGATACATTTTAAGTAAGATATTAAAGCTAAGCAGTGTTTTCAGTTGAAGCTTTTGAATTTTTTTTAGGTTAACATCAATGTAATCAAGAACTACTGGGTTTCAGCATGCTCTCTCCACAGTTACATCCTTTGACCCTTGACCCAAAAGATAAGTTCTGCTTCAGCTTCTAGGTCTATTCTAATCTGTTTCAGGGATACTTTTAGGAAATCTTTGGTTGATTCAGTGTCCTTGGCTGAGAGTAGGGCCAGCTGGCACTCTGCTTCTAAATCACTGATTTTCTGTTCCTTGCTCACCTGTTGGTTGCAAGATTCTCTGATGGAGAGCAGACTACCTGGGCTTGAATTCCCACTCCCCCACTATCCTTGCCCTGTGGCCTAGGTAAGTTATTTTACTTTTCGATCCTCAGATACATAATCTCTTCAATGTTATTAGCAATGCTTACACTACAGAGGTTTTATATTAATGCCTAGTTTTGGTCTAGGAAGTAGAAGGTTGTTCCATACTTTTCCCTGTTTTCTTCCAGGTTCCTGCCTTCATAGACTCCTGATAACATAAATTCTTACAGGCCTAAATTTCTGCTTCGCTTGAGATAAAAACTTAAGAAACTAGAGTTTTGGGACCTGCTGTTGGATCATTTTGGTGATGGTCACTATCTGCTTGAATTCCTACATATTAGCTCATTTCAGGGTGTGGGGAATATGGGGTTCCTATGGCCAGGATCCTCACTGAACTTAAACCACCTGATGATGTAACTGGCCTGTTGCTGGGCTGCTGCTTCCACACCTGTAGGCAGTAAGCTATTATTATGCTATATGGAGAGCTCAGCCCAGTGCTCTGGGCGGAGGCAGAGATGCTAGTGGTCAACCTACTGCCAGAGAACAAGTTTGGTAATAAACCCTTTCACCCCAAAGAACGTTTTGCTGTCAATTTCTTTGGTCACACTGAATCCATAGCGAACTTGCCTGGAGCTGAAACCCATTGGCAAGACACAGGGTCACAGGTACTAGGCCTCATCAATCTGTCCAGACAACTGATTGCATCGTACTGAATTGTCTCAATGATTATCAAATGACTGGATTTTCATCTATTGACTGACATCATATTTTATAACTTTAGACTGTCTGGCTGTTTGCACCTCCTGCATCCCTGCCACATGAAAGTTATGTTTAATTTCTGTCTCATTTATAGTTTTGGTCATTATATGATATGAAAAACGGACCTACATGTCATCTATTTTCTAAGTATGAATAATGAAAATTATCTCCTTAAAGAAAAGTAGAAACCTATAATAATAGAAATGTGATGTGCATTATAAAATGAACTATCCATTTTGGGAGAAAATGCTGATAATTTCAGCACTTGCAACTGACAACACAAAATCACTTCAAGTACTTGTCAGAATTCATTGCTTCTTTAAGTGAATAATTATAGGAAAAATAGAAGTTCCCATAGCCTGGATGCTCACCTGACCTTGATCTACGTGCCCACTGCGCACATACAGTGCTATCTCATGCTTATGTCATACTGGCCTGTTGTGCAAATGCTTGCTTGCACGTGTGTTGGCAATGAGACATTATTGTCTTTGTTCTTGTATAAAGACCTCTGCCAGTGCTCTAGGTGGACTGTGACCTGCTGACTTGCTGTATGCAGACTCAGAAGATATAAATCTGTGTGCTGTATGAAAGCTGGATATGAATCCTTATCCCAATGCTCTGTTGTCATTTTTTGGTCTCTTCGAATCCAGGGTGAACTTGCTCGGAGCTGAAATCTGGCACTACAATAATATAAACCAATAAGATCTTGGAATTTTGAGAGGTTATCATATGCCAATATTGTCCAGCAAGAAACAAAGGTAAAAAAATCACAATCAATGGAAAAGAGGTCAAGGGTAAAAGGCAACCCATATATATGAGCAATCCATGACTTAGCCCTCTTCCCATGTCAGTTCCAAAAGCTTTTAGATTAACTAACTACTTATCTAAACTCTGCCATATTTATAAAACATTATTAGCCATTAATAAGTGATTAGGTTCATATTTCATTCCTATGGTTTGTGTTTGGTTGTCACTGGCATTTAAACCAGAAGTCACCATCAGTACTTTCCTACGCTAATACCTTTCAACCAGTTTATTTATACAATGCATTCTAAATTTAAAATATGAATTGAAGAATGAATAGTTCATGAATTTTCTTGTTCATTCCAGGTTGTAGTAGTAGTAGATCAATGTCTGTGTCTAAATTTATAGCTTTATCTATATAAACATCTTTATCTATGTCTGTATTTAGTAAAAATGGAAAATTAATGTAATTGCTTACTAATCAGATACTGGAGAATACATTTATTCTTCAAAAATACTATAGGGTCACTTGGAATTTCTGCATTTCCTTTACCATTTTGATGTTTAGATCTGGAAGCATTTTAGATGATCTTAATAAACATCTGTCTACTTCTCACATTACATTAAGAGTGTTATAATGCTCTGAATTAGCTGCTGCGTCTTTCTGTGACCCTGAAAAATGAGGAAATGGCCTAGGCCTGGTATTCAAATAAATGGGCTCAAATGCTTGCATGTTGATGGCTGAGAAACAAGGAAACAGAGATAGCCCATCAGATTGAATCTTAGTGACTGAAATATTCTAATTACTAAGAAAGCAATCAGTGAAAAATGGCCTAAGAGGACAAACCCAAATCAGCCACTGGACCTGAAAAACACAAGGTTGGGCCCAAACCACAGCCTCATGAAAACCATCTATCATTCTTGTTCCTCCCACAAAGAAAGGCAGATGTACACAAGACTCTGACCCACTGTTCTTCTAAAAGACAACAATTTACAATCCTTCAGGTGGACAGACTATAGAACCAAAGTCAGTCTCATAAGGTCTTTTCATATTGAAATGTTTTTCTTCCCTTATTAGTGAAGCTTGGGTGTTGGAAGGCCTTGGGAGAAACTCTGTTCTGAGAAGGAGAAAGCATGGGTTCAGAAATTGTCCAGCTAAAGCAAGCGGACTTCCCCTAACAGTTCAAAAAGATAGCTGCATTGAAATGACCCTGAAGCCACCAATATGAGGGAAAAATGCCACAATCTTGTGAACTCATTGAGAAGTTGGTGGAGTAAATTCAGCTAAATACATCCTAGTGTCAATAACTCAGTGAAAGGATGGATTTAACTGGATCAAGCAAACATCCCTCATTCTGATTCCCCTGTCCAAGTAACTCACAACTTTCAATTTCCAGCGTGCAGTTTTGTTCATCTAGGGGATATCTTCGAAGATCCATCATACATGCAGCTGTGGTTGTGATCCTGTCAGGATGAGAGAGAAAAGACAGCATTATAAGGGTGAGGACTTTTACTTCTAGGTTTCCAAGCCCCGAATCAGCTTTACCCTCTGTCATAAATATTTTGTGATTGAAAGTTTTGAAGGTGGGCAGATTGAGTTCAAGTCTTTCTTTGCTGCCTACTAACTGTGTACGCTTGGGCTAGTTAGTTTATCTGCATGAGCTGAGGTTCCCTGTCAAACAAAACACCTCTTGCATGGGAAGGTGTGAGGATTAAAAGGGATATTTGCTGCAAATCTCTTAGTTCGGTGTCCCATACTTAGTAAGGGCTCCACAAAGATGGTCATTCTTACAGTTTTTATTATCCCAGGGGCTGTCCTGTGTCCACTAGCATCCTAGCAATGTCCTTGCCAGTATGTGCAGCACTCTGACCTTATGAGTATGAAGAGGTCTGCGTTATGTTTCAAAAACTGCCTTCCTTTCCTCACACAACCTGCTAATAAAAACACCATCATGTATGACTTTGGTGTCTTAAATTCTCCACTGTTAGAGAGATTTATAAGACTCATTGCTAAGGTCTATATGAAGCAGGTAGCCTATAACTGGTAAAGAAACACTATCTTAAGACCAATGTTCATATCATATTTACCAGCTCCCACTGAGCTTATGTGTTTATGCAAATCCTAGGACCCTGACTCCAGAAATCCTCTCTGGGTTCCCACTCTCCCTTCATTTTCTCTTGCCTGTACTGATTTCCTGGAATGTGGGGGTCTGAGAGTACCTTAAATTCCCATAGCCAGTCCAGTCTTACAAACATCTGATGACATTTTGGAATTGAAAAAGTACTTAAAAATTAATTGCTTGGTCCTCTAACACAAAGTAATGTAATTAGAATTTAGAGAATACAAAAGATTCAAATTTGTGATTTCCTTTCTATCTTAAACCAGGAGCTACAACACTGGAAATTTTTCATCAATACTCTCCACAAATAAAAGCCCAGATCTATCTACAAGGTGGAGATGTTCTGAATAGCAGTCTGCCATGCACTCATCTGTACCTCACTTGTTTTCATTAACAATGCATCTTGGGTTCTTTTCTCTATCAGTTAATAATAAGCTGCCTTTAAAAAAATTTACTATGATGTGACAACTGTATGGAAATACCATGATTCATTTTCCCAATCACCCTTTGGTGGGCATTTACATTGTTTCCTAACTTTTACAAATGGAGATGCTTGGAATATATTGGTATGCTCTACTGTGCCTGACTATATCTGTTGACTACTTCTAGAAAGGGGATTGTTAGAAAAAAAAGGTAAATGCATTTAAAATTTTGCCACATTGCCCTTCATAGAGGTCGTACCAATTTGCACTCCTATCAGCAGTGTATGTGAATGTGACAAAGTACTCTTCATACCTATGTTTTTGAGGCTGCTGAGGCAGCTTAGTGTTCTGGTCATTCATGTTAACACAACAGACACCTTCTGAAGAACATTATTAGGAATAACCCTCACCCTTTCCAATTTCTCTTTGGTTTTCCTTATGAAAGATACAAAAGTTCACAGAGATAAACATTTGGACATTCTCTTTGAAGCTTTCCTTAGACAGGATGTTGGTCAATTTAATCAGATCTTTTTGTACACGAGGCCAGAGCAAAAGGAATTTTAAAGTTGATTTTTAAAAAGGTCTTTGAAGTATTTTACCAAAAAACTGAAGACTAGTTGTATTACAGAATTAAGCACATTAAGTGATTTTACTAGATTCCTTCTTGCTGTCACTTCCATTATCATTTGAGTTCATTATTTTTTCTCTTAACTATATATCATGAATATCTATTGTTGCCTGAAAACAATGCCACAACATACATGGCCCACCAAGTGTTTCAAACACCCTTAGTAAGACAATACAATAAATATTTTTAAAACTTAAAAAAAATCATATATTTACTCATATTCCTTATTTAACAGCTGCTTATTACTAAAAAAACCATGAGGAGGTGAACTTTCTCTAGAACTTACTAAAGTGTGGCCAGTCCTATGCCCCATGACTTAGCCAGGGACTCTCAGCCTGAGATAGTTTTTCCCTACAGAGGACATTAGGCAATATGTGGAGACATTTTTGATCTTCAGGGTAAGGGGTGGAGGCTTGGTAATGGTATCTGGTGGGTAGAGGCAAGGAGTGGTGCTAAAAGGCCTGCACCACCCAGGACAGTCCCCCAGTGGTATATCTGTTTCAAAATGTCACTGGTGCCAAGGTTGAGAAACCCTTTTTGCAGTGGTGATTTTCAAACATTTTTCCTCAGAGTAAACGTTTATAAAATGAAATCTTATAGAGAATCTCAGTATATAAAATACAAATGAAGTAAGTGAAAGCCATACTTAGTTAATATAAAATTTCCCTGTATATTCAAATGTTGACATTTTTAAAGAGCACACGAATTTGAAAGCAGTGGTTACAGTGAGAATTATGGCTTCAAATCTCCCTTAGCACTGATTATTTTTGTGTTGCATTTTATTTATGTAATATTGAGAAAAGCTTCATAAATAGGGAAACACTTGCTTTTAAAATCTCGGAATGACCAGCCATGGGCAACCTTGACGTGGGTGGGAAAAACCCTCAGGTGCCAAATAACCACCTCTGGGATTGATGACACCTTTGCATTATATACATCATGAATATCACATAGGCGGTCAGCTTCTGCAAGTTACTTAATGATGAATTAAAGGAAAGCTTTACTTGGTGCTCCGTGAGCTTCATAAGTTAACTTAGCAACAGAAGTTAATGCTATCGTGGTCTTGAATGCATTAAAATGTGGTATAGTATACATTACAGTGTATCTATTTCTTATCATAGCTTAAAGTAATGATAGTATTTAAAAATTAGATGAGAGTGAAATATTTGTGGAACTATTAAGGAGCTTTAGGGGTACTTGAGAACATCATTTGACCCCCACTGGTCAACATATCTCATCTAATTGACCTCATTTTCAGATACATGTCATCTGGTTAGTTAACCACATCATTTCAAAAAAAGGGCATGCATTGAAATCTTATGCTGAACTACTGATTTGCACATTGTGAGGCTCTGGAGTTTCTACAAAGCAATTTGAAAGGCAACAAAACACTGTCTGTAAAATGAATAACAAATGTCTCTTGTGTGTGGTTCCTACAGTTGTGAGTGATTAAAAAAATACCTAACTTTTAGAAAGCATAACTGAATTTACTGTTGCTATCCATTATGATGAATGCACTTGGCAAGCAGTAGATATTAGATATCTAATTGATAATCACATTGGGAAACTATGTATGGACACCAGAGACTTGCCCACAACCTGAGGTTTTTTTTCATCTAGTATTTCTGGACCACTTTATTCTCCTGCCCCATATCCCATTATGATACCAAAGAGAGTTGAATAGTCACAGCTCAGAAAAGGGGTGTCAAGGCAGTTCTGGGACCTTGAGCTACAAGGAAGTCCTGACCCATCTGGAGAACACTGACATTAGGGACACAACTTCCTTCTTGGGGCCTATCTGTTCTAAATTTCAACTTCTTATTGGCTGAACTTGAATTAGGTGCCAACTATCCCAAAATTATCTAATAAGATCTGGAAGGAAAGTCACATGTATACAAATATGGCCACCAGGCACCTATAAGGGTCTCTTATTTGAGAAGGGAGGGAGTCATGGAGACACCACTAGCAGGTACTCCTAAAGTCAGGTTGTGGCCTATTGCAATGTATGCAGCAGAGTGTCAGACTGCTAATTCAAGGGCTTGGCATGTCCAGATTTTGTAATACTTATGGCTAAGTGAGCTGAGGGCCCTGAGCTCTTTGTGCGAAAAAATTGCTCAGCAAGAATTCCCAGGATCATCAATAAGAAGAGAGAAGTCCCCGGGCTGAGAGCTCTTCTGTCTTCTGGCTGAGAAGAAACAATGAACATCTCTAAGAATGATTGCTCCCTGTTTTTCCATTTTTCAGTTTGCAGAATGTGATTGCTCAGCAGTGGTTAGTCACCTCTACAATTAATTAACACATCCACACGGAAATGTACTCACACCGTGGCTGAAGCAGCCTGATACTCTAAATCTCCTGTGGAATCAAAGGTGCCAGAGATCACAAAACTGGATGTGTTGAGGGATTCAAGACTGAAGTGTTCTTTGAAGTTTGTTTTTGAACTTTTCACACTCAAGTCATTCATTCTGAGTGTGTGAAAATATTATTATTGACTGATAGCAAATAAAAGTGCAATAGAGTAGAACCAGCTAAAGGCAAAAGCATTAACTGACTTTTTCTGAACACAGCCTTCCCAGAGGTACAGATTCATGACAGCATAACATTCATCTGTCTTCTTTCAAAGACGTTTAGGATGGCTTACATTATATCCAATTTATTGACATTTTAAAGGTTAGGTCAGAACACTGTAATAGGCTGCTAGTTAGAAACTATGGTCCCATGATACTTTGGGATGGATGGAAATAAGTTGCTGTAGTATTCATTTATTAAGGTGCATTTATTAAGGTCACTGACCTTAGAGTCACTGTAATTGCAAATTATGTATATTTGATGTCTAAGGGCAGCTTGACTCTCATTGCTGACAAAACATAATCCAGGATGTCCTGGCTCATAAGTAGCTTAAAATCTAGCTGCCCCCTGCTCCCCAACACATGTGTACACACATATACATATAGAGAGGACATTTTTGCAAATAAGAATGTGAACTTATATGAATTTGTTCATTTTAATAAATGAACAAATTATGTACATATGGTTGAGATTTTCCTAGAACCTCTACTTTTATAGGGATGAGCTCCCAAGTTTTAAACATGATCTCTGTAGAGCATAACTACAAGTTTAATAGAATGCATATTTAATGCATATTTAATAGAATTTGTGTGAAAAGAATATGAGGAAGGAGAGGGGAAAAAAGCTTGCAAAGCCCCTTTAACAGGTCAGGTAGCATATTCACAGGTCCTGAGAGTTAGGATGTAAACTTTTATGGGATAAATTGTAGAATTTCCAGGGCGGGAG